CTTGAGATAGTTTCGTACTCAGTCTAAGTACAAGTTTCAATTCCAGGCGACAATGCATCATCGTACAACTAGTGTTGGGTAAAAAATATCAAACCTTGTGCTTATAAGTTAATCAGATTATGCGATATCTTCTGCATCACAAAATGCATGAGAGATCCATAAGACAATTTTAAGTCAAAAGGCTTCACTGAAAATTCTTGTTGCAGACTGCATAATCAAATTCCAAGCTCGACCGTTATCGAAGCGTCCAGCTGAGCTCAATGCACCATTCGAGCTTGATCTGAATGTTGACTCTGTGGAACTCTGCGCCACTCGTTGCTACCAGGTCACACATTCAGCAGTTTTGGATCAAAAATATGTTTACGGTATTTTAGGATGGATGCAGTGGAGCAAGGTATGATCCAAATAACGGCACCTGTTCTCTTGCCTACAATGACAAGCATTTCTGCGCAAAAGAACCAGCAGTGCTGCACTACAAAGCTGACGAAGTGACTTGGATCCATTGCGTTAACTGCTGTGAGTTTTCAAAAATTTCTGCAGCAGTCAATAGCTATGAAGTGTATTCAGATTCCGATAAAGGCCCTTCTGCTTCCCCCAAGGAACCCGCTACAAAAGCTCCTATTGCGATAGTTCCTGTAGTTCTGCCAGGTGGCACCACGACGGAGAAGACCTCCGAAACAGCTACATCAAGCCCAGAAGAGAGCGCTACAAAGCAGCCGTCCTCGAAGGAAGGTCCAGAGGAAACCACACCTAAGACTGCTACTTCCGCGACAGAGGCTACGGAAGCAGCATCGAGCGAAGGTCCGGAAGAGGCAAAATCTACCTCCGTTCCGGAATTAATTCCTAAAGGAGAGGAAACTACACAGAAGGCTGGAGCTTCCACGCAAAAACCTGGCTCATCGAGAGACTTCCTGAGAGGCAAGTCCGCAGCTCATAGTAATATACTGTCTTTACCCAATTTCTAGATTTAAAAAATTTGTAAGGTCGCTAATATTCAAAAATTCTGTAAAGGTTCTGTACACTTTTGCATCATTTGATAATGATGAAGCATAAGAAAAGAGACTTTTGCTTTGATATCAACAAGTTTGAACTCATTGATGTAAGTGAAGAAGATATGACTATGTTAGCGAATTACGAAATTCCATGATATGGAACAAGCATAACATAAATCAAATGCCTCAGAATCCATCGGCATTTTTTCTGTTTATTTGAGGTATTAGCGAGCAGAAGTTCTTCATTCAGGTTGCTTGATAAAGTTCCAAGCGAGGCCCATTGAGGATCGTCCGTCGCATCTGAAAGCCGAATTCGAGATCTCTCTTACGGTGGACTCAGTCGAATTATGCGCGACACGGTGCTATCAGGTAACAAACTTCTGTGATAAATTTTAATCTCCAAGTTTTTGCGGGAGTGAAGACTATAGCGTAAAGAATTGTCGATAATAAAAATGCTTTTTTTCTAACCTGAGCTGGTAGGTATTTCGAAGAGACTGAGCCGGAAAGAAAAATG